CCCTGCACCCGCATGGGAGACCAGGAGGAGACAGCTGGCTCCTGGCTTCGGATCGGCGCAGTGCAACAGCAGCAGTACACTGGCCATAGCGGCCATTTGTGGGGTGAACCAACGGAAGGAAGACCTTTCTCTCTGTCTCTCTCTCTCACTGTCTAACTCTGCCTGTCAGAAAAAAAAAAAAAAAAGACATTTTACCTCTGTAATCATCTCAGCAAAACCCATAATTCCCTTCACATGCAGAAGTATGAAACAAGAACCCTACCTTACAAGTTACACAAAAAAAAAAAAAACCCTCAAAATGCACCAAAGACCCAAATCCACAACCTGGTGCCATCAAATTACTAGAGGAGATAATTGGGGAGACTCTGCAAGATGTGACATAGGCAAAGACTTCTTGGGTAAAGACCCCAGAAGCACAGGCAACCAAAGCCAAAATTGACAAATGGGATTACATAGATGAGAGATACCTGCACTGCAAAAGAAACACTCAGCACAGTGAAAAGGCAACTGACAGAATGGAAAAAATATTTGCAAACTATTGAATTGAAAAATAATATCCATAATCTATAAAGAGCTCAATAAATTTAACAACAACAAATAAACCATCCTGTTAAGAAATAGGCAAAGGATTTGAATAGGCATTTTTCAAAAGAGGAAATTCAAATGGCCATCAGACACATAAAAAAAAAGTGCTCAGGATCACAAGCCATCAGGGAAATGCAATTCAAAACCACAATGAGGTTTCACCTCACCCCAGTCAGAATGGCTCTCATACAGAAATCAACAAACAATAAATGCTGGCAAGGATGTGGAGAAAAGGTACCCAAATATACTGTTGGTGGGAATGTAAACTAGTATAGCCATTGTGAAAGACAATATGGAGATTCCTCTAAAATTTGAAAACAGATCTACCATATGACCCAGCCATCCCACTCCTGAGAATTTACCCTAACAAAATGAAATCAGCATATGAAAGAGCATCTGTACACCATGTTTATTGCAGCTCAATTCATAATAGCTAAGATATGAAATCAACCCAGATGCCCATCATCCAATGACTGGATAAGGAAAATGTGGTACACACACACACACTCAACTATAAAAGAGAATGAAATCCTGTTTTTCACAACAAAATGGATGCAACTGGAAACCATTAAGTTTAGTCAAATAAGCCAGTCTCCCCCAAAAATACCATATGTTTTTGCTACACTGTGGTAACTAATAGACTACCAAAAAGTAATGTATATAAGCAAAATTAACATTTTGAGAACTGATTCTTGTTTACACTCCTTGTCTTTACTGTTGAAGAACAGTGTTTTTTTCTTTTTAGTATTTGTTGAATTCTTTACTTAATGGAGGGTTAATCTTTTGATTATGAAATAAACTGAAAGTATGTCATTGTATTTAAAAAACCATAATCTCAGTCTAATCATGAGAAAACCACTGGGAAAATCCCAACTGAGGAGCATTCCACAAAGTATTTAATGAATATGTTGCATAACTGCCAAGGTCATCTCAGAAACAGGGAAAGTATGAGAAACAATCACAAGCATGAAAGCTAAATGTAATGTGGTATTAAGGGTGAGATTCTGAAAAAGGAAAATGAATATTAGACCAAAAAAAAGGGAACCTGATTGAAATATGGACCCTAATTAATAAAAAAATCAATACTGGCTCCTTAATTTCCATGTTTATCCTCTACTAATATATGGCATAAAACATTAACAATACAGGAAATGGGTAAGGAGTAAATGAACACTCTGCACTATCTTCACCACTTTTCTGTAAATATAAACCTATTCTAAATAAATTTTTTTATTTTTTTAAAGTACATGCAATGTAATCTAAAATGTGTAAAAGAGATCCACAGATAAAGCTCAGCCACAGTACCAAGAAAAGGCATTAAATAAATGGCAGGGAAATGTTAACCTTAACTGTTAGAAAAATCACTCACTAGAGAATATACAAATCTAAGATACAAGGGAAATGGTCAAGAAGCAATGAAAACAAGAGATAAACAAAAAAGTGTATGTGATGGAATTTCTAGAGATGAAAAACAGTATCTGAGAGAATATTTCAGTGAATGAGATTCACAGCAGGTAAGATCCTCCAATTCTTCAATGAAAAAGTGTTTTCAAGAGGTAAGCAATTTGTACTCATAAACTAGTACAATTAAGGTAAAAAATTTGAGAATTAGCATAATTATTCTTTTAAAAAAATTAACAAGAAATATTACATTAATTTGTAGAAAAGCATTTCTCTCCAAATACGACGTAAAACAAAGTCTAGTATTACTTTTAAATAAAATTTGAGGATGATTAACAGTGAAGAAAGGGGAATTTTTCTTTTCAGAAATATATTCTCTATGTCACAAAATTTATTTCCCTTTTTATCAGTCTACTGGCACAACTTGATTTCCTAATAATAACAGTAAGAAGAATATAACTATTACACAACATTTAGCATATGCCCTCTTTTTACTTAGTGTATGTTGTATTCTAATAAATAAAGTTCATTTTTTAGGCAATATAGTGACAGCACAGTGAGATGAAATGACTCATCCTAGGTCCACACACTGGCTGGTGAGCCCAGAAAATATGGCTCCAGAATCCTGGATCTTAAAACACTTTGTTACACTACTTCTCATAATGCTTGTTAACTTACAAACCTAAGAATCAGTCTATGTACATAAAATTAGAAGGCAAGGGGACAATTAGAAAACAAAATATAAACTATAAAATCTTAACAATTAGAATGAAGCCAAAATGAGGAGATCGGAATGTGCAAGTAAGATATTTTTCTTATTTTCTTGTGAAGTAACTTAGCAGAATTACAATAATGAACTTTTAGAATAGAAAGTCAACAATTTTATAGTAATACACAAATCAGTAGGAAAAAGATAATGAATTTGCATTAAATTCCTTATTGTTCATGGTAAGTGATGATGGTTAATTGTATGCATATCCACTAAGTATCAACACATACTATAAAATTTTAATGAAAAATATTATGTGTATTTTTACTGTATCAGAAAAACTAAAAACAGAAAATTAAAACTGATAGAATAAGAAGTAGCAACACTAATTATAGAGTTTTGGGAGGAATATTAGAAAGGCCAAAAACAGGAAAGGGGGAGAGTTTGGAGAAAGGTAGACCTTCGTTTTCCACTACTTAAACTTTTATTAAAATGGTCAGATATTACCTTATTATTTTATTATAAAATAATTCTACTCTATTAATAATACTATTGCCTGTAAAGGAAGATTAAACTGAAGCAGGCACCTTTCATTTCTGTCATGGCAAAAGGAGAGGACAATAAACGCTACTAGACCATAAAACCTAATGGAGTACAAGGAGAGGAACAAGGATAATAATTCACATAGGTCAGCATACTCATCTTCTTTGCTGAATCTTTGTTTACCCAAAAATATCAAGCAAACAGTCAATTTTTTCATACAAACTTGTAAAATATCATTCATTGCATTGGCATTAAACAACTGTTGTTCACACATACTCCAATATAACACTTTGCACATCTCAGTTAAAAAAAGTTATCTCAATTCACATGTCATTGGCAAGAGTCTACACTTCTATTTCCTTTTTTGGGGTATAACATAGCAGTCCTTAATTTTGACCTAATAATATTACTTCTCTGAAGTTCTCCTGCAGAAAAATTTCCAAATGCTTAAAGATAACTCTAAAGTACATGGACTTTCAATTAAGCCATTATTGTTTATACCAGAAAAATTCAAAATTAAAAACAACCTTAACGCCCATTGGTAGATGCAGAATATTTTGCTACCATTTTAAAATGAAATAGGGGTAGACATTTGGTCTAGCAGTTAAGTCTCTGGTTAAAATGCCTGTGTCCTGTATTGGAGTACCTAGGTCCCATACCAACTGAGACCTGGGAGGTAAGGATGGCTCAAGCAATTGGCTTCCTGCCACTCACATGGGAGACCTGGACTGAGTTCTGGGCTCACAACTTCATTCTAGCCTAGTGTTGGCCTTTGCAGACATCTGGGAAGTGAATCAGCAAAAGGGAGTATGCTTCGTTTTTCTCTAAATATTTGTCTCTGTGTCCATCTCTGTTCCCTTCTCCTTCCCAAATAAATTTTTTTAAATAAAATACATCTATATGTAGTGTCAGGAAATGTATGGTACCCACAACATTTTAAGTTAAAAAAAAAAAACCCACGAGATTCAAAATTACACGTTATACAGTTTTTGTGAAAGTGAAAATGTATACTAACACATACAAATCACGTATGAGTGTCCTACAGAATGTTCGTGGGAAATGGGCATAAGGTGTAGTTTACTTGGGAGGGAAAAGAAAAAAAAAAACTCATAATGCATGGAAAATGCATTTTGCAAGAAAACTATGCATAGATTAAAAAAAAAAAAAAACTTTGCACCAAAATAAACTCCTACTTTTAGCTCCATTTCTTCCCATGAATTTTAAGAAATGATTTCACTATAACCTGCATTGGCAATACGCTTAAAGTGTGGTGTGGAGACCCTGAAGCTTTTCCTTTGTACACTTCTTTGGTGTATTAGTATCCTGTACATAGCATTCTTTAAGAATAATCAGGCTGTCTCAGCCGCCATAAAACTGGAATGAAGAAAAAAAAAAACCAACAGGGGAACACTCAGGACTTCCCATGAATTTCAAATTCTTAAAAAAAAAATCGCTATATTTAAGTAGCACGGATCCGGTTTTCGAGGTCTCGCACTGCACAAGGCAGAGCTGCAGAGCGCGGCCCGGCCCGGCGAGGCGGGAAGGGACGGCCCGGCGAGGGTGGGTGTGCGGGACCACGGGGGCCGCGCGGCCGGGCCCGGCGCAGGAACCAGGGCAGCGCAGGCCGGCGCCGAACGGTCAGCCGCGGCTCCCGCGGAGAGCAGACGCGCGGGCACACAGCGCCGGTGGGAGCCGCCGCCGGGAAGATTCGGGCCGCGCCACACCAGGCCTGGGCCCGGCGCGCGGCGCCCGCTGCCAGTACCTTCCCAGGCGAGCTCTCCTCCCGGCTCCCGCTTCAGGAACTTGTACCAGAACGTGTCCACGCGGCCCGGCTCCGCCCCGTCCTGCACCGCCTCCTCGGCCGCCAGCTCCACCTCCCCGAGCCACAGGCCCGGCTCCTGCAGCACCAGCGCCTCCGCGCCCGCCGCCGTGCCCGCCGGCCTCAGGCGCACGGCGCCCCGCGGCTCCCAGCGCCCCAGCTCCGGCCGCGACCCCACGACCAGCAGCTCCGGGCGGGCACCGGCCACGGCGGGCGGCACCACCACCCCGAACCTGAAGCGCATGGCGACGGGCGGTGTCTCCCGGGACGGGTCTCCGAGCGCCGGCCCACGCGGCCCGAGCGCCAGGCGGCCGCAGCGATTGGGCGTTGGAGCGGAGGCCCGGGCGCCGGCGGGGACACGTGTGGGTCTGCACCTATTTTGGGCTTTATCACGCGGCGCCGGAGCCCGGGCCGCATCTAGGCCTGTGCCTGCCTCTGGGGCGGCCTGTTGCAGCACCACCGGGTTCTGCTCGTGGGCGCCTACCTAGAACGCCTGCTCGGACGGCAGCAGGGACGAGAAAACGAGGCTTGGAAACAGGGAGACGAAGCCTAAGCCGCGCGATTGTCCAGTCATCTGGACAGGAGCCTGGAAATGATCTCTAGGAGAGTCATGAAGAATGGAATGGCCTCTGGGTAGCGGCCTCGGGTCTTAGCCAAGTCACTTCTTCCCTCTGGATCCCGGGTGCTTTGTGATCTGCAGGTGTAAGCGAATCGTCCTGTCTGAAGACCTGCCACCTCTGAGGGTTCTGCAACGAATGAGCGCAAGACCATGAGCTGAGAAAAGATCGTTTTATGCCTTGCCCTTGCTCTGCAGTCCGACGCCTGATAAGATAATCACTTTCTCCCTTGAAAAACACTGTATTTGTGTTTTGTTTTCAGTGTGAATTCAACGCGTTCTCAATGTGTTTGAAGTAAATACTTCCAAGTCCCCTTCAAGTCTAAAAAAAAAAACTATAATTCAGAGATTTTAATGTATACTTTCCATGATTTTTTTGAAACAGCGTAAAAATAAGACCATTTGTTTAAATTTAGTCTAGGTTACTATTTTTTTAAACTTAAAAAATTTTCGAGTCAAGAAACAAGTTTATAACTAATTGACCAGAAGAAAAATACTGTACTGACGTCTTTGGGGGAAGAGGATACTTCAGTCTGTCACTGACATAAGCTAAATATCCTGTTTACATTTTGTTACATTTTTTAATGAAGTTTTTCTCATGTTCTTAAAATTTGTGTAGTCACCAACATTTAACATAACACAGATCTCTTAAGTGAATTAAAAGCACACACAGACCCATTTTTGCCAGTGTTTGGAAGCTTGTGAATAGTAACGAAAAAGCCAAAATCTCAGGCATTCATAATAAAATAGAAGTACAAAAATTGTAAACTGCACAAACTCAGTCTCTGTGGGACCGTTAGTAAATTAATAATACGCTTCACTCTTTAAACATTGGTACTTCACTCAAAGTTTGGTTGGTTGCTAAGCTTAAGGATAAACATCAAGAAAAATGTGAAGGCAGCAAGGCTGGCCAACTAGGGCTGATTCAGTAGCAAAACAGACATTAACTCACAATGGCATGTGAGTCAGTTTATTCAAACGACTGTAATAAAATATTTTTAGAATAATTTTAGGAAAATAATACTCATCTGGCCAAGAATACTTCTTGTCCACAATGGAATTCAGACTTTAATTGATCTTATTTCTTAAGGACCTGGGAGCTAACAGTTTAGAACTTTCACATTCTACTCTGCTGCCTGCATCTGTGGCATCTTAAAAACCAGACCAAACATCCACCTCAGATATTATTTACTTTTCTGTCTTCATAAAGAGATTGAATAATTTTAACCATTACAATAAGCACCCTTTGAACCCCTAAACAAGATAAGCTAAAACTTATTTTATGGCAAAAGCTTAACAGGGTACAAGTTTGATAACTATGTTGTGCACCAAGTAAGATGGAAATAGAAAGAATATGGGGTAAAAGACATATTTAAAAACCTCAATTGCACTTTGACCATCAATCATTTGGAAACATAAGCCTTAATGATTGCAATTGAGCCCTTCCTGTGTGCCAGACACATGGTTTTCATATTCATGTTATCTCATTTAATTATCTTACCAATCCTATGAGGTAACTATAATTATTATTCCCCTTCTAGATGTGAAGAGAAGGAGGCACATTAGGTTCAGTAAACATCTCACAGCAAGGAAGGAAAAGAGCCAGGTTCTAAAAGGTATCTGTTTATCCTATAATAATATCCTGTGTATCCTGTTAATGCATATTAAAAGATATGTGATTCATTGTGTATATGTAATATACATAATGCATTTAAGTCCCAGCATATTTAAATGTTATACTCTATCAGCTCTTAATAAAAAGTGAACTACGTGTAATTATTTCCTGTAACTGATTTTATGCTTAGGAATGATGGTCAGGTGAATCATGAGGAATCTATAAAGGCATAAATATATTGATATTTAGAGGTTATTTGATCTCGTGCCGTAGGAAATTGTAATTTTTATGCTGTTATACACAAATCCTATAGGCAACAGAAACAGATGGAAAAGCCAAGATGGGCTGGCGCCACAGCTCAATAGGCTAATCCTCCGCCTGCGGCACCGGCACACCAGATTCTACTCCGGTTGAGGCCCAGGATTCTGTCCCGGTTGCCCCTCTTCCAGTCCAGCTCTCTGCTGTGGCCAGGGAGGGCAGTGGAGGATGGCACAAGTGCTTGGGCCCTACACCTGCATGGGAGACCAGGAAAAGCATCTGGCTCCTGGCTTCGGATCAGCGCAGTGCGCCGGCTGCAGCACGCCGGCCGCGGAGGCCATTGGAGGGTGAACCAATGGCAAAGGAAGACCTTTCTCTCTGTCTCTCTCTCTCACTGTCCACTCTGCCTGTCAAAAAAAAAAAAAAAAAAGAAGAAGAAGAAGAAAGAAAGAAAGAAAGGCCAAGATGAAGAAATTTACCAGTTAAAAAAGTATGTTATTCCCATATCTTTTTCCTTGTTGGGTTCTTCATTTGATATTTCTTTTTATATTACAAAAATATTATGGTAATTATTAAAAAGAATTACTTGTATAATTTATCTGAGTTCTGATACTTGATGCTATGGGGATGAGCTGAGTAAAAATCATCTCAATAGAATAACAATTCTGACAGTAATTTTTAAAAGACCAAAGAAAACTTGTATCATTTCATTTCATTTCTATAGTGCTGTCTTCTATATAACTACAGTATTTCTTGAAGAATGTGTGATAAATTTAAACTTAGAGTTTTAGGATCCAATTCAAATGTAAATTCTTTCAAAGCCCCCTTAGGAAAAGCTATGGCTTGAATCTTTGCTGATTTATGTTTTCTGAAGCAATCTTTCACTAGCTCCTGAGTTGTCATAAATCTTCCCTTATATTATTGTGTATGTAGATACACGCTCACTGATGTAATCCACATTTTATCCAAATGGTTCAGAGACTATTGTAAGTATTAGTTTACCACTTAACAAAACAGATTTAAGAATTCAATTGTCACATTTATTATTTTTCATTTTGCAGCTTAAAACAAACAAAAACCTTCCAGAAAAAGTTTCAGTACAACTGAGAGACTTTTGCATGTTATAGATAACATTTTTCTGGGCTGGAAAATTGAAACCTTGCTGGGAATCTAAAGAAATAGGACACAAGCTGTCCTAAGTCTTTGTCCAAAATCCCACAGCATTTCTCAACTATTTAAAAAATTCATGTCCCTTCTTGTTACATATACAAATCTATCTCCAGTAGATTCCAATGATTCCACATCCCGCTCATCCCACCATAGAGAAGTAGTGCCTCTTCGGTATATCCCCAATAGCCTGTTTAGCCACACTTCTGTCATTGAATTTATGCTATTAAAATAACGTTTAAATGTTCCAGATATGAAATTATAGATAAGCATATGCCCTTTCAAAAGAATTGACTTGTCTTTCCATCATACTTCCAATGCCCATCATTGTAAGATCCACACCTATTCTCCTTACATCTCAGTGGAGAAATTCTCAACAGATCATTCAAGCCTTTGTTTTCTTAAGCAGTAACATAAATTGACTTTACCTACAGAAACTAGAGGGCCAAGGCAAATGAAAGGACCTCCAGGTCAGAGACACCAGTTTAGAGCTTCTTTCAGAAGTAAAAAGATCCTCCTGGGTCTGGGACTAACTTGAATGGTTGGATAGTTAATACCTTTTTTCAAAAATGGTAGAAGTCCTGATACCTCAACCCTTAGTAATAAAGGAGTGCTGGCTGCAAGGAGTGATTTGAAACTCCCAAGAGTTTGGAGAAAAAAAAAAAAAAAAAAAAGAGCTTAAATAGAGCTAGGTCATCCACACTTAGTAGAGAATAGAGAATGCGGATAGGGGCAACCTTGACCAACACTTTCTAAGACCTTGAATTTTCTTTACTTATTTTTCCTAACCATTGTAGGTATGGTAGGTATGTTACATTTAGAGCAAAAGTAAGGGTGGGCTTTGGCCTAGCAGTTAAGATGCCCGTTGAGATGCCTGCATCCCACATTTTGAGTATCCGGGTGCACTATCTGGCTCAATCTCCTAATTCCAGCTTCCTGCCAACATAGACCCTGTGAGGCAGCAGTGATGGCTCTCATACTTGAGTAGTAGGGTAAAGGGAGTGAGTAGACCCTGGCACCTATGTAGAACTAGACTGAATGTCCATGCTCCCAGATTTGGTCCAGCTGTTGTGGGTATTTGGGAAGTTAATCTGTGGATAGGAGGTCTCTCTCTCTCTCTCTCTCTCTCTCTCTCTCTCTCTTTTAAAAAAATTAGAAGTAAAAGTATTTTAAACTTGAAGCATGAAGCTGATTGGGGTGCAGGCAGAAGATGAGCTTGAAAATATTCTTTTACCTCACTGTCAGCTGGAGGAAGAGCACTCAAAGAAGGAGAAAGGGGTTTGTGGTAACTGGAAATGAGAAATCTTTGGTGAAATCCTGTTGACCCTCAATACAAAAGAAAGATTAAACCAGGAGCTGAGTGATTATCCCGGGCTTCCTAATAATTTCTGGTTCTTAGTAGGAATTAAAATATTAGAAATGCAGAAGTAGTGTGGAAGAGGTATTATACCACATTTAATTAGTGGAATAGACTACTTATTCAACGATACATATTTCTCTAAAAATGTACTACTATTCTCAAATTATAGTTTTCTAAAATTATTCTCATGTAAATTAATAGTAGAACAATCTAGATAGTAAAGTTAGGTCAAAAAAACTTTAAGATACAATATATAAGTATCTAAAAAATGCTAGATAAAGATTGCTGCATTACATAGAAAACTGACTAACTTCCTACTGGGCAATTATACTAACCTTTGAATTTATCCATGCAACTACACAGAAATCACTCATATCTTTAATAGATAAACATCTATAAGGTTTCATATATAACTTTGAGAGTTGGCCTTGATCAACAGTGTATTAGTCAGCTTTTTATTATGACAGTGAGTACCTAAGACAAGCTACTTATGAATGAAGAAGGTTTATTTCAGCTTACACTTTGGAGGTTCACAGTCCATGTTCAGGCACGCCCTTTTCACTCAGCTGTCCTGTGACACCAGAAGATAGAAATGGCAAAGCAAGTAAAAAGAAACAAACACATAATGAACCAGGAAGCCGAGTCAGTTGCTGGGACCAATTTGGTTGTTTAACCAACACTCTCACAACCACCCTCCAAGGACATGCCCGCATAGACCTAAGAACCTCCCAGTAGGCCCACAACATTGACACCATAATTAGATTAAGCTTTTGCCCTCTCAGTACCCTTTATAAAAACCTCTAGGATTTAAACTATAAGCATTTGCATGAGATCAAGAGACATTTCCTGAAATAGTAAAAGAAACCGAGACATAGATAATCTTATAAAGAATGGAATAATTCTTAGGTGAGTTTGTAGAATAGTATAGGACATGAAGTCAATCTGGCACCTTAATTCTCAATTAAGATACATATTCTTATTTATTTAGCTCCTGTTGACAATGGGCTAAGCACTGTGTTGGGTGCCTGATTTTAAATCTTATTTAATACTCTCAACCTTTCTATGATGTAATGATGACCCCCGTGATACAAAGGGAAAAATCCAAGTCTTTGGGACATTCACTGATTTTCCTAAGGCCATACAGATTAGAGTTGACAAAGTCAGGATTTTTCTAACCCAACAGCTCTTCCAGCTGGCTACACAGTGTATCAGTACGTAGCTCACACACTACAGTGCTTTACTGTAGTGGAAGCTAAAACTCAATCCATGCTCCATTTTCCAAACCTTTTCCTCTGGGTATGCCTTCCCATAAGATATTCATTCCTTGTCAAATCTGATGCCACAGAGACAAATCTATATAAAGCCATAAGGACTATGAATGCACAGATATGAAACATTTCACTTCCTATCTCCTACAGCAT